TATATATATATATATATATATATATATATATATATATATATATATATATATATATATATATATATATATATATATATATATATATATATATATATATATATATATATATATATATATATATATATATATATATATGGGACTTAGTAGTGATAACCCCTCCAGCTGTTTTTAACAGGAGTGAATCCATCCTTATTTTCAATATTAGAAATAGGTTCAATTTTTTTTATATTCTAAGTTTGTCCCTCTCCACCAGTCAATTCCCACTACCCACTACTCAGTGCTCATTACTTGATTCCTTTTTATATTTATATAAATAATATTTTTTATTTCCATTTTTTATTTATTAAATTATTAAAAAATATTAATTTTTTTTTTTAAATCTAATAAAAATATTTTTTTTTCTTTTTTTTCCCATCTTTATTTTCTTTTTTTTCTTTTTCTTTTTCAAAAATCAACTAAAAATTTTTTGAAATCAATAAATTGTTTTTAAAAATTTTTAATTCATATTGAGTATTTTTTATTTGCAATTTATTTTTGTTTTCTTTCCATAATCAACTACAAAAATTTCTTAATCAACTATGATTTTCATTTTCTTAGTTTTTTTTTTCACAATGAACTATAGAAATTATGGTTAACAACTAAAAAATTATGATATTGAAGGCTTACCAGTTTAAAATCAACTATTATCAAAATTAAGTATAAATTTTTGAAAACACTAAAAAAATATCGAAACTAACTACAAACATATCGAAATCGACTACAAAATTATCAAAACCAACTATAAATTATCTAAACCAACTAAAACAAATAGCAGAATTCGAAAACAAATAGCAGAATTTGAAATCAACTAAAACAAGTAGCAGAACTCGAAAACAACTAAAAAAAGTGACGAAAACAACCATTTTCCCGTGCGAGATACCCAACACAATTTCAATAGCAATAAAAAAAAAACAAAGCAAAACGATGGCAACATTGAGGCGGAGATGACGGCGGCGTGGATAAGCCTCGCTAATGGCGTAATCGAAAATCTAACGATGAAATCGGAAACCTTGGTATCTATAACCGACAAAAGTTTCGTAGATCTAGGTTCGGGGCAATGGAGGGCGGAGGCGGCGATTCTCCATGAAGATACAGTCCAAGGTTTCTACATCCTCCTCGGGGTCGATTGATTCCATCATCAAGCAACTCCAACGGTGGTGGTTGGGGCACCATAGTCACGACAAGTGTAGGCAAGATCACGACGGGGAGGGGCAGGGCAGAGGTGGTGGCTGAGGCGCAGAGCGGGGCGAACGAATGAACTATGACAAAAGAAATGGATAAGAACGGCTGGTGGAGAGAAAAAGGAGAGGAGAGAATAGAAATAGATTTTCACGTAATTAGAGATTTTAAATATAAAAGATATGAGGGCAAATTAGGTTTATTGAGTATTAAATTATTGAATATTTATTTAATTAAATAACTAAAGGGGGTTTCACTAATATGTAAAAGGGGGTGGGATCCATTTTTATTATACTCAATGAGTGAGGGGGTTGTCACTAATTATCCCAAAAAAAAAAGACAATGTCCCCAAAATATTTTTAGATGTTATTATACTAAATATTATTAAAAAAGTTAATTATAAATATTTCTTTAAATTTTTAATTATTTTCTAGTCCCAAAACAATTTTAAATTTCATTTTGACTCCAAAATAGTGTTTTCTGTTAGCTGTGAATGGACACGTGATATAGGGGACCAAATGTGTTTAATATCGGACTTTGAAGATGAAATTTGTTCACTTTAAAACAAAGGAGACTAAAAGTGGAATCTAATCAAACATGAGGAACGAAAAATATAATTCTCCCATCATTTCGTACATAATACTTTGGACATACTTTAGTTTAATTTATTTTAATTTATATTCTTTACGTTAAAATATAAAAGTATTTATTTATTTTATTTCCATAATTACCCTAAAGAATCAAAGGTATGGAAACTTTCTAAAACACAATTCAACCTATACCTACCTATAAATACCTGATGAAGTTTTTTTATATATGGATCGAAACAATGTTTTCCTTCTTTTTTTTTTCTCGGGAATTAGAATTTAGTTTTTATATCAGATAGATTACATTTGATAAAACATTTTCAATTCGAATTTTAATTCTAAGAGTATGCATGATTATTAGAATCTTAATTTTGAATATAAATTTGTAAACATTCATATATTAGATTTAATATAGTTGAAATGTACTTAAATGTACATAAAAATACAGTCAATATTTACTATTCTTTATGTTAATCTTACTGTCGACTCCAATGAAATTTTATTTGTTTAATTAATTAAGGTCATTTAGTATAAATTGTATTTATTTCTTACACTTTTAGGTGATTCATGTTCTCAGTAATGTGTATTACTGATTGTATTTGAAGAATAAAAAATGTGCATGTTATTCGCAAGGAATTAGATGATTTATAGGCGATTTCAATGCATGTGTTGTAATATACTACTTTGATAATTAAGTTTCATGTTAAGAATTAAAGTGTCTTGGACGAGATAGTTGTACCATTTGGTTCAAATAATATTTATTTTTTGTATGAGAATTTTATAATTTTGTATATTTTATTTTATGATTTATTTTGTTTAACTCGGTACTTAAATCAAATAAAACATATATTATATTTTAAGTTTTTGGATTATATCATATTTTCATTTCTTTAAATTGTCCCCATGAATTGTATTAGCACACCCTCTTTTCATTTATAGAGGTATTTGATTTACATCATCGATGTGTTTTAGTCATTAATACATTTCAATCTTAGAATAGATTCCCGTGCATCGCACGGGTGAGTTACTAGTTTAGTTCAATTTTGTAGTTCTCGACCTCCCTAATAGAAATAATCACCATTCCGCCATTTATAATATTTTGGAAATGTTTGTATTGGTTTTGGGAGTTATTATTATTTTTTTTTTGGGAAAATATGTTTGGAGAGAATAATTTGAAAATGAAAGTTATGTTTGTTTATTATTTGAGATGACGTAAAAGACACTGGAGTGGTCAAATCATGTTTAAAGGTGTTGGACAAATGTAATATAAAAGAAGACTTTGAAAAATAAAGTATTGTTTGTTTGTTTTTTAGTAACGATAATTTTTATTGCAGTAGTTAAATATTTTTATTATACCAATCAAATCATGTCTGAAGGATTAGAAGTCGTGTTTGGATTTTATTTATTTTTTTTCAAAATTTACCAAATAGGAGTTCATTTCGAAAAGAAAAAAAAGTGAAATAAAAACAGAACCAATCGTGGCCTAACAACGAAATGAGATGAATATAAATAGGAATCTTTAAAATGATCCAAAACCTCACATGCTTAGACCAAACTACTTCCATTTATCTATTATTTCCTAGCCAAAGTGCACCCATTATCCACCTATATATTTTAATATTTTTGTGGTCTCTATCAAATACATTCTTTATTACTGTTTTTAATATTATTTCTATCGCACTACAGTCAAGAAGCAACTTTATTTAGCTTTGAAAACAAGTATAGAAATAATTAAAGTATAGTCTAGTGAAAAATGAGAAAATGTAAACATATTAATAAAGTGTAGTGTTACCTAATAAGTAGGCTTTAAATTATGAATACCAATTGGTCAAAAGTAGATGTTTAGGTTAGGATCTTGGGGAGATGCTTATGCACCCCTACTTCTATACAAAAATCAATTCCCAAATGTTACAAAGGTTAGCCGCAATTATTGCGATCCATCCAGCATCTACCTTTACTTTTTCTAATTTGTTTTATTAAACAATTCAATTTTTGTTACAAATAAAATATAGGTGAAGGACATGGTTTGAAAAATAAAAGGGACCATTGTTCAACTTATGTGTCTCATTCTAGTAGTTTCTATATGATTTATCAAGTGTTTCTATATCCAAGAGATACGATAATATCGAAATTTTTGAGCGACGAATGATTTTTAATTCATTTTCTAAATTTTTGTATAAAAAATCAAGCTGCTCGAGTCTCGATTAATACTCGTTCGAATTTGGCTGGATTGCTTATCACATTAATCTCAAAAGTAACTCTTAGAACTCGTTCGAATTCAAATAATTTTGAACCACCATGCTTCGGCTCAACTCATCTCGCTTTATTTACACACCTATTCGAATCAATGTATATAGAAAATATGTTATTTATTAGTATATAGAAATGTGCTGGCAAACTATACGTTTGGTCTCATAAGGTTACCTCGAGTTCACATTTGGTCCTTCTTATTGACAAGAAACAAATTTAGTCCATCATTTTTTAATTTGAAAATGTTGTCTTTTCCTCAATTTTCCGTTAGTACTAATGAAATCAAGCACGCTTCCACCAATATTTTAACTGACGAACTAACGATAAATTACGGAGAAGAGCAAAAGTGGAAATTGTTGAAACATAAAAATTAAATATATAGTTTGAACAACAAGAAATTCAAAATTGAAATAAACTTGAGGAATGAAAAATGTATTTTTTCCATTATGTGTATTTTGGTTATGATATACTGGTCGACGCCCAATCTAGTTTGTCATAAAATCTAGATTTGCCTTAATTACTAATAAATGTGTAAGCGATGAATTTTTTTGCAAAACAAGAAAAGTTAAAATATTCCCTTTTCTTTCGGTAATGAAGGAAGCTGCAATCAATCATAGATGTGTATTGGATAAACATGCACTCTCATATAATCGCTTGCAAATCATACGAGTCACGTATACCACACTAAATTAACCATGTGTGACAAACTTCACATAACGACTGTTGATAATGGGATTTGAACCTGAGTCAATTGACATAAACTTATTTGCTCCAACTACTTGACCATCCATTGTGGAAAAAATAAATCCGTTTTTGTATTAAGTGTAGGTTGGTGTTAAAAGAGTTCCATGTCATTACCCCAAAATCAGTATATACACATACAAACAAAGACATTTGTTGTTATAAAGGAAATGAGAAATACGAAATTATTATGTTGAGAGTTCCAGTATGTTGGCTCCTGGGTACTAGAATCGGTCCTATATTATATATAACAAAGAGAAGAGATCGTAAAAGTTATTGTTATAACTAATAAAGCACAAATTAAAGAGAAGAGAAAAAGTAAAATACCCAATATCATCATTACCACCATCATAACTCAAACCCCACTCAAATTCCAAACATTATTTCTCTCTCTCTCTCTCTCTCTCTCTCTCCCCTTCTCCCATCTCTTCTACCACTTTAATTTTCCACCACCTTTTGTGTTTCTGCCCCATCTCCTGTCTCAACCTTCCATCTCTCTCTCTCTCTCTCTTCCCAGTTGGCCGGATAATTAAGAAGACAAGGAAGAAGGAGGATTGCAATTTTCAGAAACAAAGTTGAAAAGAATTATTATGGATACAAGAATCATCATTTGTTGCCGCTTTGCAGTTGGAGTATTAATTCACCTCGCTGCTCTTCTACTCTGTTCAGGTTACACTCTGCCTTACTCATTTTCTTCTTCTTCATCATCATCACATTCATTCTTGCTCATTTCTTTTTCTCTTTTCTTCTACTTATTCATCATTTTTCAAACCCCTTTTGTTGCTTCAATGACTTCTTTTATTTATATTTTTCTAATAAACTACAAACTACTCTCTCTCTCTCTCTCTCTCTCTCTCTCTCTCTCTCTCTCTCTCTGAGTCTTTTGCACATGTAATTGTTTTTTTTAATAAGTACTTGGCTGTAATTGTATACCATGCATGTAAAATTCTTTTATTACAGTGAGGTAGTTAGTTAATTTTTTTGTCCCTTCCAAATTTGAGTAATACACATAGTTATTTGAAGTTTGAAGCCAGTTTTGTAATTTAAAAAAAAATAAAAAAAATAAAAAAGAATTCTGTTCAATGTTCAAGATTTTCTAGATTGGGTTTTGCTGCTATATGCTATGTTACTTATTATACTATGCCCTGTTCTAAGATCACAGCTCCAATTTAACATTTGCATATATAATGTAATGAAAAATAAAATAGAAAAAATTAAATTGGATTTTGATTGTACTTCCCAGGTTCAAGTGTGAAAGCAACACAACACAGAAAACTATCACTATCAGTATCAGTATCAATATCCACAAGGCAAATGGACATAACTACCCCTATCACAACTGTTCCAACAACTACTAATCCCAAAATTGTAAACCCAACCGATTCGAATCCAGAACTTCCAGTAGTAATGAATCCGGCTAATCCAATAACCACAACTCCATTATCCACAAACTCTCCATTATCATCATCATCGGCCGGAAGTTGGTGTGTGGCTGTCCAATCTGTGCCGCAAGCGGCATTACAGGCGGCGTTGGACTATGCATGTGGCCAAGGTGGTGCCGATTGCTCTGCCATTCAGCCCGGTTCTGGTTGTTATAATCCCAACACCATTCGAGATCATGCTTCGTATGCATTCAATACTTACTATCAGAAGAATCCGATTCCGACTAGCTGTAACTTTGGTGGTACTGCTGTTACAACAAGTACCGATCCAAGTAAGATTATTTTTTTTATTTTTATTTTAACTTGTTTAATAGATTTATTTGTTTATTGATGTATGTAATTGTGAATGCAGGTTACGGTACATGTCAATATCAATCAACAAGGTAAGCATTATTACAACTATAATCTATAAGTCTCATATAGTTATTCTGTTCAAAGGAGAAAAGCTTATAATTAGTGCGTTAATTTTGCAGCACAAGTTCATCTGTATTGAATATAACCAATTCGATTGGATCCCGAGTCTTTGGTGCCGGTCGACCAATCACTCCTGCTACTTCAGCAGCTGCAATGCCACGTTTTATCCATCATCTTCACTTTATATTATTAGTATCTCAAGTGATTATTATATTTTCTGTCCATGATATAATCAATTAAATATTCTCGGCTTTTTTTACAAAGGATTGTAGCAAATTTATTGGTTTGAACGTACCATGCATTAATGTCAACTCTTGATGAAAATTCACCTAAATGGAGTGTATAGATAGATATAGATGAAGAGGAAAGAAGCAATTTGGTGGAATTTTTGTATTTCTTTTAATTTAGTGATCTAACTATTAATTAAATTTTTTTTTTGGTGTTTGGAAGGGTAAAGCTGAGAATCTTAGTAGGGAAGTGTGTTAAAAGCAGTGTTCTATCTATTATGTGCAGATGAACTTTGACAGCATACATAAGTGACTATGCCTTTGAAAAGCAGTGTGCTGAAATGGAAGAAAGAAAAAGTTGCAAAACAGAATAAAGCTCCGCAGGATATATCAAAACTAGCTAATGAAAAAGTGAAGTGATTTCTAAATCAAAACTAGCTAATGAAAAAGTGAAGTGATTTCAGTAAAGCTCGTCTCAAAACTTGCTAATCGAAACTATGCCTTTTAGCTATTTGTTGTTTTCGAGGGTATTTTTGGACAACCAAAAAATTGAAAAACCTCCGTATCATTCTCACTTTTATAAGTAAAAAAAAGAAAACAACAAAAAAATAAATAAATAAAAAAATAAAAAAAAAATAAAATACTAGTAAGTGAGGCATCCGTTGCACGTGGTTCATGATTTTTATTAATTATTTATAGATTTATTAATAATTTATTCGAGTACTAAAATTAACAAGAAGTACAATAAAAAATATAAGTACAAAAGCTTATTCCACAATTAGAGAGAAAATCGATTCCTCTCTATGCAAAATTTTGGCTGGACTGGTAGATTGTTATCCACCAACCGATCCATTACCGATTATATTTTTAGGTGGATAATAATTTTTTAACCAACCCATTGGATTTGGTCGAAAATTTCAACCAACCCATCCATAATTGGTCGGTTGGTATTTGCAATATTATTAAAAATTGGTTGACCGATAATTAACGGTCAACCAACTATATTATTAAAATTTTAGTAAAAGTTATAAAATAAAGGATGTTTTGTTAACTACTTTTAATTTCTTAAATATATTTTTTGTCAAATTGCTATTACTTATTTTGAATTGATAAATGATGATCGCTCAGTGACATTAAGTAGAGTGTGCATATTTTTACTCCATACTTCGAAATGTTTTTAAGCAACTAGGTGGTGGGCATAACCCATTAACGAAACTCATTCCGGAACCAAATATTCGGTTGTCAACCATCAACCGACCCACAAATGCTGGGTCAGCAAGAATTTTCAAATTTGAGCAAAACTGGTTTGTTGGAAATGTCGGTTTTTAGGCTGGTAATCGACCCACCCAACCCAATTCCAGCCCTAGCATAAATCGTGTAAATACATTTCAGATGTATAACAAAAATAACTTATTTTAGACATACATTTACACTTCGGGGACAACTAAAACAAATATCGTTTCTTTCTCACTTCAATACTACCAACATAAAATATAGAAAATAAATAGGTAACAACATTAATATCCTTAATAAAATCAATACCACACAAATTTTGTGTGGTATTGATTACCATTAAGGATAATAATGTCATTACCTATTTACTATCTATTTATTTTTTATTTTTTTTGCTAGTGTTATTGAAATAAGAAAAAAATGGTATTTGTTTTAGCCACTCCCTTACACTTCAGATTCAGATGTTAGTATTTATTTGAGGGGTCCATTACAAATAAACCCAACATGGGCTATTTATTCATAAATGGGTCCAAACAATTTTTCTTTTTTTACAAAAATGTCCACACATTGTTTAGAGGTGAGTAGAAGACTAAAATATCACCTCACATTTTTTTACGTCATAGTTTCATAATTTAATTCAATTTAACTCCAAATTTCACCAACTATTCAATTTTGAGTACAATTTCGCCCATCGCTGCCGATCAACCGTCGTTAAATGCCGGTCTCCGACGACAGCGGCGGATCTACTATAGGTCTAGGCTGTGCAGCAGCACACCCTTGAAATTACAAAAAAAAAAAAATCCCTATATCTATATTGTTATATTGTATTATCCGTGATAATTAAACAAAAGTAATTGGTAGTTCACCTGATTAGGTACTACAACTTTGTGTAAATTGTCCATATGTCGAGTCCCAAAGTTATCAAACTTTTATTGCTTTTCCAAAACTCTACAAATCCATTCATACTCTTAACATTTTTTTTCTCCACAAACGCATTTATAAACATTTTCTCTCATTTTCAAAAATTCTCCAAGAAATTGCAATTGATCTTAAAATTTTTATTTTCCTATATATTAATATTATTTTATGCTGGTATTATTATTATTAAAAAAAATTGGGGGCGCTGCCCCCGAACCCTCGTAAACTTTTCCCAGACCCTTGGCTAAATTCCTGGATTTGCCACTGTCCGGCGGTCAACGCCGATCTCTGGCGGCGTTGATTTTTTTTTGGTGAACTTTTTTTTTCTTCAACATTTTTAATCGTTTAAACAATTATATTGTTGTGGTTGATAGTCATATTAACTTTATTATTGTTTAACACAGTAATATTAATTATATTACAGACTAACACAGTAATATTGTTATATTACTCTCTAGCACAATAATAAAACAACAAAATTACTATTATTGTGTAATAAAGTAATATTAATATGTTGATCGTTCAACATGCAAAGGAAAACATGATGAAAAAACAGAATTAATATCGATGTGGTTGACAGTAATATTAGTGTCAACCATAGTTATATTACTATAACGACGGTAATATTACCCGCAACAACAGTAATAAAATTGTGTTTACAGTATTATTATTACATTAATCAGTCAACAAATCAACCAAAACAAAAATGCCAAAAAAATATTGATGTGGTTGACAACAATATTATTGTGTTTACAATAATTATTACATTGACTTGTCAACAAATCAAACAAAATAAAAAAATCTATTAAATAATAATATTGATGTGGTTGACAATAATTGTACTATTAGACATTACACTTACGTAAATGTTTTGCCAACGATAGTATAATTACTGTTAATGACAGTAAAATCACGGTCAACGTTCAGTGGCGGGTGTAAAAAAGACGGATAAAATTTTTCGGGAAAAAATAAAAAAATCAACGTGGGAAACAGCTGCGGAAAAAGCAAAAAAAAAAAAAAAATTAAAAAAGGTCAATGCTGGAGACCGGCGACAAAAAAAAAAGACATTAAAAAAAACATTAAAAAAAATTAAAAAAATTAAAAAGGAAAAATTGAATTTTTTGTTCAAAATTGATGAAATTGAAGTTAAATTGGGGTTACAATTAAGAATTGAGTTTAAAGGATTGGGGGTACTTTTGTCATGTACACTAATTTTACCTTTATTTGTAATATATATTAAAGGGATGAGTTTATTGGCGAAAGAGGTATAACACCTAAACCTATAATAATAAAGATGGTTTATCACATAAAAACCCATTTATTTAAATTCTTTTACCGCATGGATTGTAAACATTTGTTTAAAGTCTTTATTTAAATAATAGAAAAATAATTTTATGAATAAATAGTTAGATGAATCTACTTTAGAAATAATTACCACAACAAAAAAGATTATGATGTATGATTAAAAGCAAATAGTACAGTTGATCAGCACTGAGCTTTCAGATATAAACTCAATGTAAGAATTTCCACTAAATTCTATAAGACATTCTATAATGGTAACCACGTGAAGATTTGTTTTGAAATCGGATAATACACTTTAAGAGTGGTTGTTTTAATTTGTTTACGCAGTATTTTTCTTTTTCTTATGTCCCTATTTACATGAAATTTCACTCATTCCTATAAGACCTTCTTCTTCCCTTATATACGCTATAAGTAGCCCCACTTAAATGGTAGTGATATGCATAATTGGGCCAACTCAATAAGCCTATATTTTCTCTACCTACTGGGCCACGAGCCTGATTTAGAAGAACACTATTACGAAAACCCAATTACCTTCAAATAAGGTTTAAGCCCAACAATCTAATCTCGACCCAATCGACAAGGTATAAATAACGATTTAATTCATTTATTAAAAGAGGCCCTATTATCTAGATAATACTACGAGTCATATTCTCTCAACTATTTCTACAATCCGCACGTCTGACTAGAGCGTCGGGGGGGTTTCCGCCAGATCAACCCCGGCCTAGTTCATGTGTTCTCTGTTCGCAGGTATCTCAGGGCCATCTAGCACGTGAGTATGATCCCCTTTGCTCTCCCAGCTCCCTCTATCTCAACTACTTAAGGTGATCTATTTCAAGCATCATCAGGTAATTTTATGAAAACCTCTCCAAGTGAAATGTGTTCTTGTTATTATAATCTTGAATCCAACAAAATATCATCCCGCCGGTTACTTTATTCATGTTCGTGCTAGCTAATTAATATATATTTGGTAAGTGATTTCTATTGACTGAATTATTTTACAAATTTAATTCCCAAGGGTATTTTGTCCATCCAAAAAAAAAAAAAAAAAAAAATCCTTTACACTTTATCATTTTTATAGATGCTAAATAAAACTAAAAAAATGAATCATAGGGAAGTTTATACCAGAAAAATAACATAAACAAATTTTGACGCTAAAAGTAAGAATAAAGTATTGTTGAATGCAATGAATTTTTTTTATTTAGACTACGGAACTTCAGATCCCATTCCCAACAACATCATAAACTAGTGCTATAGATGGTAGCAACATAGAAATTAAAAGTTGAATTCAATTTACATATTGAAATTTATTAACATCCAAGTTTTCTATTTTTAAATTTATTACGGAAATTAAAATCCACATCCCCAGCAACATCAGAAACCAGTACTATAGATGGTAGCAATATAGAAATTAAAAGTCGAATTAAATTTATAGTACAAAATTTATTATCATCCAAGTTTTCTATTAATAATCTTCAATTAAATTTAATCCATTCGACCAAATGCAGTAGAAAGTGATAGTGCATATCAATGCTGCAAAATAAAATTTTAAATGAGATACATTCGCCTAAACATACAAATGATGGTGAGAGAACATGACATTATATGTATTTCACTTCACCATGCATATTTAAGATATTTAAAAATTGTTGAGCGAAGACCTTTTAATAATTATTATACTATTAAATGAATATAAATGAAGGGGTTCTTTGAGAAAACCCCCTCATTACTTTTTTTAATAGAGGGAGACCCAAAATATTTTAGTCCATTTGAGAAAAGTCCACACCCATTTTTAACCATTATGTTTTCCAGCTTTATCCCCGCTCGCCACCTCATCACTGGGTCACGCGCTGCACGATTTTTTTTTTTTCCGTTTTTTTAATCGACTATAAAGCATAGTCGATTAGTCTTAAATCGACTATGCTTCATAGTCGATTAAGGAAATTCTTTATTTTTAAATTTTTTTTTTGTTCTTTAATTTATTTTTTTATATCAGGTTTATTAATTGACTATGATGAAGCATAGTCGATCAAAAGTGTGCTACTAAAAATAACAAATCAAAACTGCAAAAAAATGCAAAATCAACTATATTTTACAAAAGAACAAAAATATAAGAACATTATAATTGATTTATACAATTGGAATCAATAAACAAAAAATCCAAAAAAACTAAAAAAAATTGGAGTCGATCAACCTTAATCGACTACCAGAACATAGTCGATTAGCTTAATCACCTATGTATATGTACATAGTCGACTAAGGTTTCAGCCTGCGCAAAATTCTCTACAGGCGTCGTTATCCGCCCAATCCAACAAAAACCCCTAAATCTGCCTCCCCATCGTCACCACACCGCTGCAACAATACACTATTCAACCAATCTCCAACAAGAATTCATACAAAAAACAGATTAACATTTCAATGTCCAAAAAAAAAAAAAAACAGAAACGATTCAGTCATCATCTTCAACGTCGTCGTTGCTTTTCTTGCTTTTCTTTCGAATTTCAGTCGAGAAGAGAAGAGAGAAGAGAGAAGACGAGAAGAGAGAAGACGAGAAAAGAAGAAGAGAGAACGGCAGAAGAGAGAAGACGAGAAGATGAGAAAATAAAAGAGAACGACAATGGGTTAGGAGTAATAAGGGTGGTTTGGGAATTATTAAATAATATTTGGGTAGGATATTAGGTAAGGGGGTTTTCTCTAATTATTTTTGGGAGGGGGTGTTTTGTTAACTCATTTTCCTAGATGAGGGAGTTCTTGCTAATTATCCCATAAATGAATGGAGCAAGAGGAAGTAAACTTGTACGATTCTCCTTTTTATATGTTAATTTGCTGATTGTCCGAATACATCAATTCCTAAACAAAGTCGGTTACTTTTATTCATGTTTGTATAATAATTTTAGTATATATTTTTTATGACCTCCCAAATCTAATCAATTCCTAAGCGACGTCGGTTACTTTATTCATGTTCAGGCTATTTTAATTTGTATTTAAAGTTAGTTCTAAGCAAAATCATAACCCTTACTTATTATATTTTATCATGTTCATACTTCTTAGAAGTTTTTGAACAATTTTACGTTCTTCAATAATATCACCAATGTTTCGATTTGGTTGATGATTTCAACAACTTTGGAAAGAAAGGATTGCATTCCATCGTCTTCTTTCATTGCCATGTTATCGAAATCTCTCCAAAGAGATTGAAGTTTTAAAGAAGTGATTTTCTCATTTCCTTAAAATTTTGTTACAAAATATCCCAAGCTTCTTTTGCATTTTTTGCTCCAAATATTCTTGGAAATATGATTTTACTCACGTCTTGTTGAAGATATCTTAAGGCACTTGCATCTCTCCGAATATTCTCCTTGTAAAGCTTTTGTTCTTCTTCACTCCACGATTCACTAGTAGCTTCTCTTGGTGGCTCGGCGTATCTGTTCTCCACGATATCCCAAAGATCTAAAGAGATATTTTGCTTTTGACTACTCCAATAGTCGTAGTGTTCTCCGTCGAAGATGGGTACTTGGTTGGGGGTAAGTGCAAACATGGTATATTTCGGTAATTGAAAGAGGTTTTGATCGTCGAATAAGGGTGGAGAGACCAACCAAGAAAGCTGGCTCTGATACCAAATTTGTTTGGGTTTTTAATATGCGGAAGTGTGGTGTTAAGAAAGAACACCAAGAATTGGTGTAGAGATTTTTACTGAGTGGAGAACAATGGAATCACTTAAGAACAAGAGAGGTTTTTAGTACTGAAAATTCTTAGTTTTTAGTTGTTGTTTATTACATATAAAAATCTGATATTGGGTACAATTTATAGGGTATGAATGAATACAAAGAGACACTCTATCCAAGTCCCAAGTTCTTAGGCAATGTAAAAGCCTTAACAAGTTACAAGAAACCTCCTTAACTTCTACAAGTCAAGTCTTCATCTTAGAATGCGTACCTTCTTGGGTTCTTCCACCGTAGAATCTTCTATTTTGATGTTTTCTGACTCCATACTTGTCATCTTTGTAAGATTTGTTGAGTTGTAAAGATTTTGAATGTTTAGGTTTTGTGGGTTTATGAAGAAGGAAGAAGAAATGTTTTGTGGGTTTTGGAAGATGGAGAAGATGAGAGTTGGTCTTGTGGTTTTGTGATAGTGTTTTTGTGTTTTTGAGTTTTTGGTATTGCACATTTGGAATTTTCTATTTTTTTAACAAGTAAGGGTATTATAGTATTTATACATTAAAATTTTTAATTTAGTCTTGCACAAGTGAAATTAATCTTGCATATAGCCGCAGCCTATTTAGAATCCATTACAATGCTATGAACTCAGTGTTCACCACCAAAGTTAGATTCCATAATAATATCTGAATACTTAAAGAGTACTAGGATAAGTGAAATCTATAAACATATTACAACTTTAGTTAAAATACAAAATATAATAATAACAAACTATTAGGATCAAAACGTAGTATCCGACGGTTGTTAAGCTAGTAAAACTTTAGCTAGTTGAAATCAAAATTATTATCAATAACATTCCAATCATTATGGAATAAACATTATTTGGTGGAAAATAAAATAATACAGAATGTCTACAAATTTAATATATAATCGGACACTCACCAAAACCAAAAGTAAACCATGTCTACACATACACACACAACTCTAGCGTGTCACATGGCAACATACAAATTTTATAAATGAAATTAGTTGTCATAAGGGCCCTCACATCTATTTAGTCAGCCACACATTATTCCATTTGGTCATCTCAACTATTGTACATCTCCAATTCCATCTAAATTTCCATTTGCCACAATTACAAACATGGAGGACAACCACCACCTAATCCGGCCACTTCTTCACCCTTCCACCACAAACGCCGCCGTAACCCCACCACTAGATGACCATGTACACCACAACCTTATGAACCCCATCTCATCAAACTCGGGCATCATTTTCCGCCTCTCGTTGGTGGCCTTTATCGGCATAGTGTCCATATGGGCGAACCATGAAGCCTCCAAAGGATACTCTGTAACAATCGTCAATGATTCCGGCCAAACAGTCGCCGGAAAAAGGTTCCATCTTTTCTACGTCTCGAACGATGAAGCCACGCGTGTTGTCGTCAAGGCAAGTAAAATTATCGAAAATTTTCTTTATCCCAATCACGATAAAATTATTCCCTCTAGAAAACAAGTCAAACATATAGTTCTAAAATTATCCGACCGGAATTTGACGGATAATTATGCCGTTTATTCAAATACGGACCGTGAATTTGTACTCACCATAAGTCCTTCAATTATGGGAGGTGCAAATTTTCGTCACGACACCGTTCTAGCAATGCAACGAGGTGTGGCGCGTATTTGGCTATGGGATGGTCCAACAAATCTAATAAACGGTATTGTGGAATATATGGTCATCAACAACCTAGGTGGTTCTTCCGCCGCCTCTTCTCGCGCCGACAGGGCTGAGCCGCCACAATCAGCCACCGCGTGTTGGAAGAACGATGACTCTAGGGTGGTGGCGATGTTCTTGAACAACTGTGAGCGACGCCGCCCCGGATTCATTAGAAGATTGAATCAAGCTATGAAAAATGGATGGGAGGATGGCAAATTGGATGGAGCATTGGGCCAGCCGGTTCAAAATCTATGTGCAAGTAATAATGAGTCGTTAAGGTACAACTTCTCCAGCGTGTAGTACATCAGGGTTGTATCCATATGTTAGTTTGATTTGAGTGGGTGTCACATTGGCCAATTGCCACAAGAAAGAGAAAGAAGCAATTATTGGCTGGAGAGGGAGTTCAGGTCCCACCACATCACAAGGGAGAAGAAATCAACGGTGGAGATTGCTTTGTTTGGGCCTGATGCTTTAATTTATGGGGTAATGGCAAATAGACCCATGACAAGGACACTTAATTAAAAGAGGGACATCCAACTTTTTTGTCTTTCAAATAAATCCACTCCATTCAAACTTATTTGCAAATAAGGAAAATCCTTTTATATATACCAAAATTACCCCTAATTCAGTGAAACCCAATTCAACTCCAATTTCATGATTTACACCCCAATTTAGCCCAATTTCATCAATTAACCAGTTTTAACCCTAATTTCAATTTTGACCCCAATTTTAACCATAATTCTTATCAATTCCACCAATTATGCTCTAACTTCCTTAATATTACACATTGACCCCAGATTTAAACAAATATATCACATTAACCCCCCAAATTTTTTTTTTCAGAAAATATTTTTTTTCTGAAATGTTTTTTATTCCGGCCAGATTCCGGCGTTGACCGCCGGTCTCCGGCGTTGACTTTTTTTTTTTTAATTTTGTTTTTTCTTATTTTTTTTAATTAATATTACTGTCTTGGCTGCTAAATTACTGTCTCCGGCAGTTATTTAACTGCCGGAGACAGTAATTTAGCTGTTAATTGATTTTTTTTTCTTCAAAAATATTTTAATTAATATTACTGTATTCGTTGCTAAATTACTGTCTCCAACAGTTATTTAACTGTTGGAGACAGTGATTTAACTTTAAATTGACTTTTTTATTCTTAAAAAAAATATTTTTAATTAATATTACTGTATTCGTTTGCTAAATTACTGTCTCCAGCAGTTATTTAACTGTCGGAAACAGTAATTTAACTGTTAATTGGCTTTTTTTCGTTTTTTTTCTTAATTTTTTTTTTAATTAATAGTACTGCCTTAGATGCTAAATTACTGTCTTCAACGGTAATTTAACTGTTTTAGACAATAATATTAATAATATTACTATTCGAAAAAATAATATTCATAATATTACTGTTCGAAAAAAATAATATTCATAATATTACTGTCCCAAACAGTAATATTACTGTTTGAGATGGTAATTTGGTAGGTAAAACAGTAAGCGAAATAAAATATTTTTTTTTTTTAAGAAAAAAAAAAAAAAAAAAAAAGTCAACGCCGGAGACCGGCGGTCAACGGTGGTTGACCGACCGGAAAAAATTTCAGGAAAAAAAAAAGTTTTCAAAAAAAAAAAAAAAAAAAAAAAAAAAAGTCAACGCCGGAATCTGGACATTTCAGGAAAAAAAAAAATTATGAAAAAAAAAATTTTTGGGGGTTAATGTGATATATTTGTTTAAATCCGGGGTCAATGTGTAATATTAAGGAAGTTAGATCATAATTGGTGGAATTGATAAGAATTATACTATTGAGGGTATTTTAGACTAAAGACATGGGGATGGGCTTAATTGAGAGACTGTTTTTTTTGTGGACCGAAATGCATTTAAGTCCCATGTAATGGGCCTTTTTGCCATTTGCCCTTAATTTATTTATGATGACAACAACATTCATTCCATGCCTATCCGAATCTTGGTTGTGCGCAAACTCTCTCTTTTTCGCCGGTTTTGTATATTCTATACTACTTATAAAAGTGGGAATATTAGGGGAGGTTTCTTCCCTTTTTTGTGATGACCAAAATGTCTCTATCAAAATTAAAATAATTAATATTAATTTATAATTAGTCTTTTAATGTATGTTTATGAAAATAATTGATATCTTGTAGAGTTCAATGTATAAAGGCATCTGAAAAGATGAACTCATGTATCTATTAAATGTTAGTCATATAAGAAATTCAAAGAAACTCAATGGTCGATAATTCAATATGAATTTCAATTTTGCATCACTT